GCCGGATGCCTCAGTTCAGTATCCTCCGATGCCGAAGTGAAGACTTTGTCCCTCCCTGAAAAAGTTATTGCCAACGCATATCGAGCATATCGTCGAGTGAAATCGCAGCGCATTGTAATCAAGGCAGATGCTGTTTCCATCTGTATCTGAGCCCCAAATAGTAATTTAAAGTGCAGCCAACAAATATGGGAGGTTATTCGATTTCCTATTGGCCGCAAAATCAACACCAAAACGAAAACAGAGAATCTCTCGTTGCCATGGTGAATTTATTTCGTTTGCGGTTAACCCTGCCTTGGTCTTGTTTCGCCTGTTATCTCGATAATTAATTCGATTGCCGCCATCACCCCCCGAAAATGCTCGGCCAACGTGCCGTATGCGTGATGTGAAATTTTAAGCTCACTTACCTGACTGTTTACCCGGCAAACACTCCGGCCAAATGGCTGAAGAGCCAAGAGTTGTTGACTCTATCTGGAGTCTAGCATCTGGCATCTGGAATCACACCCGAAGGAAGCTCGTCGAGGTGTTTGAGCGTTGATTTAACGCCATTCGTTGGTGTTTGCTCTGCTAGTTTCGCACCCGCTGATCAAACCAAACCAAGGAGCCAACTCTTTGGCGGCCAATCCAATACAGCGGTTAATGTGCGGGGTGGGGAAGGCTTGCTTAAATTCCGTGAAACTAAATTCGCCCGGCTAGCGAACAAATTCACTTAAAATGTTGCACGACGCTGGGCGGGGCGGCAATGAAAATAAATGGCTTCTCATCAGAATAAAACGCTAAAAAATTAAGAAAAATGCGATGACGTCCAGGAGGAAAACGAGAACGAGGGCAGGCCGAAAAAAAACAGAAGAGGAATAGAGGAGCTGAAACAGGAAGAGGAAAGAATACGCAAATGGAGCTCAAGCTTCAGCTGGCGGCAGGTGGTTGAGGCAATACAAATTGTTTTGAATTTAAATTGGACAACAGTTGCAGATACTTTTCGTATCTCCTTTAAGCTTTAATCTCTGGCCAGACACTTGATCGCAGCGTTTTTTCCATTCCATTCCAACGAAATGTGTAACGACAGCTCCAAGGTTGCGGCAAGGATGCCAGCGTCGATGTTTTGTGTTTGTGCAACGTGGCGTGAATGAGCAACGGTAGAGGTCTCTTCCACCTGCCCGCCCCCCGAAAAAGAGCCACCCAACCATCAGTGTCAACGTGTCTCGGCTACATCTGCACCTCCACCTGCACCTGCAGCTGAAGTGCAAATGTGCAGTGTAATTAAAAGTGTGTGCACGTGCAGACCCTGGCAAAGCAATTCAAATAGAAAAAGGCAAGCGAAAGGGCTTTCAGTGCCCGAGCTGGGGGTAATTTGGGGGAATATGAGTCCTGAACCTCGGCTGGCTTACTGATTGCTGGCGGCCGGGCTATCTGCCTGCCAATCTATAACCATAAGCCGGAATCAGAACTCGTCTGGGCGAAGGACCCAGTTAATAGAGGCACATTCCTGGTGCCTGTGGTCTTTCAATTAACATTTGACCGGGCTTAATTCGCAAACCAAAACAGCTCTTATCTTGTCCACGAAAAGAAATGACAGCAAAAATAGTCATAAAATATTCTAAATAAAGATTCCAGCGGCCCAAATAATTTTATGAAATTTTGTTGATAGTCAAAATGTATCTGTTACTTATTTATTTTGTTCATTTGCTTCATCTCTTCACAGAAAAAGGCCTTCATAATTTCTTCCATATCCTTTTCTATAGTTTGCCTAGGGATAATATTTTGTTATTTTTTTCCTGGTGTAGCCCTAAGGCCAGGTAAATTAGTTTTCAGGTGGAATCAAAGCCAAAGCTGGATTCACAATCAGAGCAAACCGGGTTCGGTCATCAGATGAGACGATGGACAGGCACTTGACTTGAATATGTGATAATTGGGTTTCTTGCCGTTCAACGGACATCAGAGACGCCCTTAGTGCCAGGCTCTTTCATTTTACATTTTCCCCTTTGCTAATTGCTATTTCTGGAAAATTGCAGGAGCAGATATAAAAGTGCAGGGCGGAAGAAATATATTTGTGCTGAAAATTGTTTGATATGCCCGCTCATATGTAATGAAAATATTTAGCTAGTCAGCATGGAGTCAGCTGGCGAGTAGAGTTAAATATTTAATATGCTGACCAAACAAATTGTGAAAATTCCATTATTTAACTGTTGAGTACGGCTCACTTTTTGTAGTGATTCAAAATTTGAAGCCAGTTAAACAAACATTGCACATATCGAGTTTCCAGCACTCAAACAGTCGAAGTCTAACATGCTTTTTAAATTTTTGCATCTGCCTTTTTATGGCTTAGCTTTAATTTAGATACAGCAAGAGGAGCACAATGGGTATACGAAAGGAAAGTGCGAACATGGAATAAATCTTGGCCAGCATTGTCCTGGTGGCTGTGCAGCCGGAACGGAAAGCTGGATCCTGGATCCTAGAGAACAGGAGCAGAAACAGAGGCAGAACCAAAGCCACAGCCAAACATCGAAGCACTTAGCAACTGCCTAATTTATGGCCCTGTCTGACAATGTGAATGTGAATGTGATTGTGAATGGGACTGTGAATGTGAATGTTTGAGCGCCGGAAGGCCAGACGGTCCTCACAGACATCGGGCAAATATCAGACGATTAGCCACAGACGATTGCATTGAAACAAAGCTGGGAGGCAGGCGAAATGGAGGGGGGATTAGGATTGGGTATTGGAAGTCCCCCGACGAATCGATCCGCATTTAAATATTTTTGTGGCCTCGCCTCTCTGCCTAGCGAAAATCGATGTTTGAATAATTGTAATTGAATTGAATTGGATGGGATTGTTTTGACTTTGGCACTGGCAAGCGTCCTTACGCTTATGGCGCACACACTCATCTCGGGCCGACATTTATTGGTACAGCAAAATGGTAGCTCCATGTTAGTCACGTAGTAGTAGCAACTGAAAGAGCAGCCACCGAAGTTGAAAGTTTTTGTTTTGGGGCACATGACATGCAAAGGCGAAATCACAAAACACTGAAACGTGCTTTTTGACATTTTTGCAATGTATTTAGGCACGTGCAATATCCATCTAAGCGAGTGAGGGAGTGTGTGTGTGCTCGGCTTCTTTGCCAAATTGAATTTAGCTGCCAAAAATGGTATCGATTTAAAGGCAGTACGAACGAACGAAATCAGAAGCAACAGCATTAGGGTCAATTACCGCTACAAAGTGAATTGTCAACAAAATCGAAGCCCAAAAGCAGGCAGCAAACTGAATTCAACACATTGTCCAACTGCCCAACTATGGCCAAAATACACACATGAGTGTATGGGGTGTATGGTGCACTTTCATTATCTGTGCAAATATTTGCCAAAAATGGCAGTTGGCAGTTGTCTCCTATCCTGTCGCTGGCTGCTCCTGCGAGAGTTGCTGGCTCGACACTTTTGGCCATCCTAGCGCAAGTTTTAAGCCGCTTAGTCCCCAGCCCTTTTGCCATTACCCTTCCCTCCCCCTTTCCCACCCCAGTCAAAGTGAAAGTTATTGTACGGGCAACACACACACACTTACACACAAACCCTGCGGTGCACATTTCATAAATGTGGTAGAAGAAAAACTATTTTCATGTTGTTTGGTTGCGTGCGCTTTTGCGAAACTTTCGGCCTCTTATGTCGGCTGTCCCTCAACTCAACTTTTGTCTGTGCCGGAAACTATGGGCCATCCCATCCCAGCCCAGGATGCCGTAAATATTTGCCTTTGCGGCGTAGATGTAGATGCAAACACGTCGCCAGTTTGACTTTAAGACTCACCTGAAGGGACGTCCCTCCACGAAGTTGATGTGTTAACTGCCCCGGAGCAACATCAGCAGCAGAAACAGCACTCGAAAAAAAATAAATTGAGTTAATAAATCGAAACATATATAAATTTGGGGAAAAAAAGAAATAAAGAAAATTACGGTACAAAATAAATGTTTATCAAAGTTTGTATTAAAATAAATTTTTTAAGGAAAATTAGATAGTAATACAGACCATTTCCATTAAAACTTTTGGATCATTTTATTTAATGACAAGAGTCTTTAAAGTAGTTCCGAATTTAGATTTTTTATTTACATTTTAATGTCAAGCTGTTTTGTCAGCGCGACTCACACCCCGTTTTTCTTACCCTAATTTTATTAGTATAGATTACAGACTGGTAAACTCATTTAATCATTGAAAAAATATTCAAAGAAAATACTTTAAATATTTATCTGCTGTGCAGCAATCGCCGTCATGCCAGCAGGTGAAAGTTAAACAACTTTCTGTGGCCATATACTCGTATGCGTTATTGGAAAATTTTCAATTTGCTATTGAAAACGGGCGGCAGGATGGGAAAGCGATGGCTGCGGACAGAGTGCGGAACAAATTTCATACTCGAGAAAGCTAATTAACTTCTCTTTACGAGGCATAAACTTCCGCCATTAAACGCATTTATTTTCATGTGAAAATAAACAAATACCCAAACACGAGTCGGCGGAGAAAGTAATGTTTTGACGGCTCCTTTTGTGCGCGAGTATATTTCTTTATGCATTCAAGCGGCGCCGGGCACGCACACAAACAAAGGCCGCGGCCCGTGTGAATTTACGACAGCGGCGTTGTCAAAGGGGGTTGAGTGAATGCAGAGGAGCAATCCTAAGGGGGGTCGATATGTCTGCTGGTACTTAGCAAGTTGGAGTATTTATTTAGCACGTGTTCCCACGTCCTACAGCTCCTAGCACAGGGCGTATTTGTTGCTTGCTTTTAATTAAGAAATGCCTTGCAACGCTTTTCACAATCATTGAGCGCTAATGAAAGGCAGTAACCTCATCTCGATGGCAAAAGAAGACATAAATTGAGCTCGCTTTTTAGTGCCGCAGCATCATGATTTACCGGCTCATCGAGAACGATCATATCGACATGATTTTACAGCGATTTGTTATCAAAGATTTTGTTTTTATTATTTGGACTGTTAGTTTCATTATTCTTATTATTCTGTCGGTTTTACACCTACCAAATAACTTGACGATCAAGTTCGGACGGAGTTTCCTTTAGTACCGTAGTGCACTTAACAACTTCCCTACGCGTCGGCTGATTCGGGTAGGCCGGGCTACTAACTATGAACCTGAAGCTCTGCTTTAAATAAACCACACCATGACAGGCAGCTGAATAATTTCCAAACCGATCCACGGCGATAAGGGCGCCCTCAAAACGATCTATGTGCTTTCGGATTCGCTGGATTACCGACTCCACTGCCTGTGCCGGCGTTTTGCCCGCCCGCATGGCCTCCACAGCTCGGAGGGAGGGAAGAAAGCGCATCAGGACGTCACCATCTCCGGTGGCCACAGCAGCGCCCACCTCGTTGTCTGCATAGGCTCCGGATCCAGGGATCGACGCATCCCCAACACGTCCGGGTAGCGTGTGTCTTAGTCCGTTGGTAGAAGTGCCCACGTGGATGTTGCCCTCCTCATCGATGGCGGCCATGGTGATGGTATCGTGGTTGTCGGGCCCGAGCTCAACCTGGTCATTTCGAGAAGCGTGCTCATCCCACGAATTCAATGGCTTGTAGGGACCGCATGAGGACTTGGGATCCGGATAGACATTTCGCCAGAAGTTCGGCTGGCAGTTATGCTCCGTCCAATTTTGGGTCATGGCTGTGGTTTCTGCAGTGTTCAGAGTCTCGTTCGGGAATCCCATGGCATTGGCGAAATCCGCGGCTCCATCGCCCACCAAAAGGGTGTGATGAGTGTGCTCCAGGACGTGACGGGCCACCTTAATGGCGCTCCTAATCCGCCGAAGATCGCCCACTGCTCCGATCTCCATGGTGCTGCCATCCATGACCAAGGCGTCCAGCGAGACATCTCCACGCTCGTCGGGATTGGCACCGTAGCCCACTTCTTTATGGCACTGCAGCCTCTCGCACTCCGAAATTCCGCCCACCACGGCATCCCTCGTCTGACCAATTCCGCCCTTTTTTAGGTTCAGGATGCGCCACGCCTCCTCGTTTGCGACAAAAAAGGACCAGGTGTTGATAACCATTGGCAAGAGCTTTCCAGTGCTCCTCTGTCCCGAACTCGTTACGTTTAAAGTAGATTTTGCCCTGCAGGGGTTCGGGTTTCAGAAAGTGAACTATTTCACTACTTTTAAAGAAATTTCTATCTTTACCGAACATTAGTTGCCAGCCAAAGAAAGCACACGTATACTGCTAAAAGTTTCAACATAACTCTTAATTATAATCAAAATAATTTAATATTATTTGTAAGCTAGCACAGGCAAACTGAGCGAAACTCTTTTGGGTCTTCTGATTTTATAGGCCGCCTAATCAGAAGAATTAAGAATAAACACTGAAAAAAACTGTAGTTTTGAGTAACAGTGATTAGCGAGCTCAGAAAGTTCCATTCATGGAAAATAAACTTAATTTAACAACAGAGAACGCTATAGTCGGGTGCCCCGAAATTTTTAAAATCGTATATAAGCGATTGTGGGCGTTAGAGGGGGCGTGGCACCTTTTTGAAACAAACTTGCGCTGCGTAGGAACTCCTAGAATCCGCATGCAAAATGGCAATCTTCTAACTTTTATAGTTTCCGAGATCTCAGCGTTCATACAGACAGAGAGTCGGACAGAGGACATGGCTAGATCGACTCGGCTAGTGATCCTGATCAAGAATATATATAGTTTATAGGGTCGGAAACGCTTCCTTCTACCTGTTACATACTTTTGCACGAATCCAATATACCCTTTTACTCTACGAGTAACGGGTATAAAAATTCAGATTGTGCTGAAAAGTCTTATCTTTCCCAATATTTCTATATCTTAAAGTGTAAAGTGTTAAAAAGAAGAAAATATTAAGCTGAGTGTAATTGTAGGCCTAGGCCTAGCAGATAAGAAAGACACTGACATGACAAAAACAAGAAGAAACGTGTGCCTTCATAATCGTTATCTCCTTTATTTTTAATAGCAATTTTTGGAAAAATTCGTCCGGTTATTGAAGAAAACACAAATAAAAAACTCATTTTAATTAAATCCCAAAAATTAAGCGATTTTACAATCAAATTGGATCGAATTTGAAAAATTAAGGAAGTCCGGGTTATGTTATTATGTTATGTAAAGTTTACAAAGGTAACTATTATAAACAATCAACTCTTAACGAGGTAATAAACTCGTTACGATCGCTCCTTTAACATTCAATACTTCTGGTGATCTCAAAAATCAATTTGTTTCCATAAAAGTAAAATAAGTTTTTAACTTATGTTTTATTAGGTAATTTCTAATGAATGGCAGTAACCTCATCTCGATGGCGAAAGAAGACAAAAATTGAGCCCGCTTTTTAATGCCGCAGCATCATTGTTTACTGAGTCATCGTGAACGATGATAACGACATGATAACCATAGAATTTTGTGTGTTGCTTACCCCTAAATACTTATTTTTAAGGTTTCAAAAAATATGTTATTTATACAATCGGTTCTTTAGATTAGCCAAATTAAAATTTCCCAAGATAATGACTTCTTAATAAGTTTTATTTTTATTGTTTATACAAATACCCATATTCCTATATGAAACCCAATAAATATATACCAACTATTCAACTAATAAGCCTACCAAATAACTTCACGATTGTGTTTGGATGAGGTTGCAAAGAGATCCGTCGTGCATGTCACCGTTTCCTTACGGGTGGGATGTTTCAAATTGGCCGGGCTGCTGACCATGAAGGAGAATTCCTTCTTGAAGGCAGTAACACCGTGACAAGCCGCTGCATAGTTTCCAAGGCGATCTACGGCGATAATGGCGCCATCAAATCGATTTCCGTACTTCCGGACTCGCTTGATTGCCGATTCCGCTGCCTCCGCCGGGGTCTTGCCCGCCCGCATGGCTTCCACAGCCAGGAGGGAGGGAAGAAAGCGCATCAGGACGTCACCATCTCCGGTGGCCACAGCAGCGCCCACCTCGTTATCTGCGTAGGCAGCGGAACCAGGGATCGACGCATCCCCAACACGTCCGGGTAGCGTGTGTCAGTGCTGCCATTTTGTCCTTTTTCCGGACAGATCTGTCCTTTTTTTAACGGCTTTATCCGGAAAAAATTTCAAACATCCCCTATCCGGAAATCTGTCCTTTTTTTTTAAAAATGCGGTTTTGAGTGTTATTTTTGATAGTCGAAAGTGTATAAACCTGTTTTTATATGCTAAAACGCCTTTTTAACTATCAGTCTTACAGCTCGGCACTTAAAAAATAATTCTTTTTACAAATTATCAAAGAGACGTAAAGCAGTCGATGAATTTTCTTTATAGTACAATTTTTTCTGTGGCAAAAAAAAGAGGAAAACATTTTAAAAATTTCTCAATTTTTACTTTCTGTTTTTTTGTCAGAAAAAAATTCAGATTTGAACGACTCTTATCGGGTTATTGGGTTATATATGATTTCTGGCATATGACCGCCGCGGCTGGCTCGGATGTAGTCCAATCTGGACGTACAATTTTCGATGACTTTTTCCAACATTTGCGGCCGTATATCGGCAATAACACGGCGAATGTTGTCTTCCAAATGGTTTGGCGTTTGTGGCTTATCCGCTTAGACCAATGACTTTACACTGTGACTGGTGTCATAACTAAAAGGCTTCACTTAGCCTGTAGCACTGGGATAAAACCAAAATAAATTAAATTAAATTAAATTAAATTAGTGCGCGATACGTATTCGTATTTGCAAGCGTTGTTTAGGCGTGAGTCTATTCATGATGAATTGCCAAACCAAACTGAGAATAAATCACTTGACAGCTGTTAAATCGGTCGCCATCTTGAACAGTGATGCTAACTTAAAGTTCTATACCTTTAAAAAAACACCCTTTATAACCTATGCAGTCACTTGAAATGCTTTTATTATTTGAATAATTTTAGATTATTACGTATACGCACAAAAATTTACCATGGTAAAATTATCAAACGAAGAAGGTTGTGAGTCGGGCGCAGGAGATCATTACATAATTGAATTTTATACAAAATCCATTTAAATTAAGTAAATTTATAACCCATTGGTAAAAACAGAAAAATGGAGGCGCATTTACTTTTGTCCTTTTTTAAAATGTTTTTGTCCTTTTTTTCCCTGAATTTTTTGGCTTATTTGTCCTGTTTTTCAAGCTGAGTGATGGCAGCACTGGCGTGTGTCTTAATCCATTGGTAGAAGTGCCCACGTGGATGTTGCCCTCCTCATCGATTGCGGCCATGGTGATGGTATCGTGGTTGTCGGGCCCGATCTCAACCTGCTCAGCTCGAGTAGCCTGCTCATCCAACAAAGACAAGGGCTGGTAGGGACCGCAGGAGGATCTGGGATCCGGATAGACATTTCGCCAGAAGTTCGGCTGGCAGTTATGCAACGTCCAATTTTGCGTTATGGCTGCGGTTTCTGGAGTGTTCAGTGATTCGTTTTGGAATCCCATGGCATTGGCAAAATCCGCGGCTCCATCGCCCACCAAAAGAGTGTGATGTGTGTGCTCCAGAACGTGACGGGCCACCTTAATGGCGCTCCTCATCCGCCGAAGATCGCCCACTGCTCCGATCTCCATGGTGCTTCCATCCATGACCAAGGCGTCCAGCGAGACATCTCCACGCTCGTCGGCATTGCCGCCGAAGCCCACAGCTTTATCGCATTGTAGCCTTTCGCACTCTGAAATTCCGCCCACCACGGCATCCCTCGTCTGACCAATTCCGCCCTTTTTTAGGTTCAGGATGCGCCACGCCTCCTCGTTGGCGACCGAAAAGGGCCAGGTGTTGATAACCATTGGCAGGAGCTGTCCAGTGCTCCTCTCTCCGGAACTCGTTACGTTTAAAGCAGATTTTGCCCTGTAGGTGTTCGGATTTTAGACAGAGAATTCACTACATTTGAAGAAATTCCTATCCTTACCGAACATTAGTTGCCAGCCAAAGGAGGCACACGTATACTGCTAAAAGTTTCATCATATCTCTTAATTATCATCAAAATAATGTAATACTATTTGAGTCAAAATCTGCCAAGTGGGCCACCCCTGTTCCGAAGGTCCGATTTTCATCGAACTTTTTTACTTTTCCGGTTCACAACGAAAATATAAGAACTTCATTTGAACGGTTTTGCGAAATTTTGAGTTTTACCGGAGTTATAGGGGTCAAAACATGGCATTTTTGACACTTTTTCGAAAAAGTTGCACTCAGTCAAAAATTCATAACTTCGGAACGGTAAGAGATATCTTTATGATGTTTTCACTAATCGCTCAAGAATTATTATGGCTTTCCATAAAAAAATGTAAAAAAAATTAAAATTTATTTTTCTTAAAAATAAATCAACATTTTTTTAGTTTTTATTTTTTTCAGTGTTCTTCACCAGCTATAGAGTTTAAAACCATTTGAAAATGAAGTTTGATTCATTACGAAAAAATTCAAAAAAAAAAAAAGAGTGGCCCGGCCAAAGGTTTTTCGCAATATTGAATTGAAGAAGAGCGCACAGCGGATTCCCATACAAAACGACAAGAAGTGCCTCATTGACATCTTCAGTCGGCTGACGCTACGCGCGCAACGGCATGTGTTGACCAGCCAATTTTCACGAGCAAGCCGTTTTTGTATGGAAAACCGCTGTGCGCCCTTCTTCAAATCGATATTGCGAAAAACCTTTGGCCGGGCCACTCTTTTTTTTTGATCTTTTTCGTAATGAATCAAACTTCATTTTCAAATGGTTTTAAACTCTATAGCTGGTGAAGAACACTGAAAAAATAAAAACTAACAAAAATGTTGATTTATTTTTAAGAAAAATAAATTTTAATTTTTTTTACATTTTTTTATGAAAAGCCATAATAATTCTTGAGCGATTAGTGAAAACATCATAAAGATATCTCTTTCCGTTCCGAAGTTATGAATTAATGTCTGAGTGCAACTTTTTCGAAAAAGTGTCAAAAATGCCATGTTTTGACCCCTATAACTCCGGTAAAACTCAAAATTTCGCAAAACCGTTCAAATGAAGTTCTTATATTTTCGTTGTGAACCGGAAAAGTAAAAAAGTTCGATGAAATTCGGACCTTCGGAACAGGGGTGGCCCACT